TTCCTATTGCCAAATTTGGGTACTAATTAAGGATGTGCACGATGTATCGATATTTAAAAAACATCGATTTTTAGGTTTCGATTATCGATGTTCAACATCGATGTTTTTTAATCCGATGTTATTTGCTAACATCGATTTTTACATTAACATCGATGATTTTCTCTTCAATGTTTCTTGGTTTTTTGTAAGCGTCACGTTTAATTTGATGGTTTAAATTTCTTTTTCCTGTTTTTTTTTGCTCTTCAATGAACGCTTTTGGAAAACATCGATGTTAACAGATACATCGATGTTTGAAAAAATTTGCGCATCCCTAGTACTAATGCGCAAATTACTTGAAAAATTATTTGTTTTTGTCTTACAAATTTTTTTCAAATTTAAATTTAATATTGTTTATCACGAGAGAAACGAGACGAGACAAGACGAGAGGAAGCGCCTTCTCTCGATCGAGAGAAGCGCCTTCTCGTCGAGACGAGAGAACAGTTTTCTCTCGCCCTACGAGACGAGACGAGAGAGGCCACTCTCTCGTCTCATCTTGTCTCGCGGCATCACTAGGAGTAACCCGTTCCGTCTTTCCTCCAATTTCTTTTATTGAGATATAGGAGAAAACATACCAGAGGAGAATCAGTCCTTGGTCGTAGAACCACAAGAAAGTGGGGCTACAGAACAAGAGACTGATGCTCCAATGGAAGTAGGGGACTTGGAATCCACAGCACGCGAGCTAGGTGAAGACGAGGAGAGGACTCTTTTAGGGGACTCACCACTGTCTAACCCGGCTGACGTGCCGGAGGAGGAAGAGGACCCTACATCAAGAAGTAGGGGGTACCTTTAACGAAAAAAAAAAATATGAAGGTAATCCAAGCAAATATACATCACTGTTGGGCAGCAACATCTGTCCTACAACGAGAACCTCTTATATACAAGGGGCGAATTAGAGGGTTGCATATATCAGGGGACTATGACCTGATTTATTCAGCGTCTGAACCTGCATTATTGCAAATAAAAGCTTGAAGGTGTTTCCACTATGGGAATTTTGTACAAATGACCTAGTGCCAATATCCCTAAAGCTAGACGGAGGAACTAATCTGATTGTTGGATCCGTATATCTACCATATGACCAACCCGGGCTCCCCCCACCAAGGAGGTGAGAGAACTGGTTAGTCATTGGGAAAGAAACAAAATTGAACTTCTTCTAGGGTGTGATGCCAATGCTCACCATATAGTATGGGGGAGCACTGACATTAATAACCGAGGAGAAGCTCTTCTGGAATTTATTGCTTCCAATAAACTAGAAGTTGTAAACGTTGGAAATGAACCAACCTTCGTAACATCTGTGCGAAGGGAGGTACTTGATCCCTAGGTACACAACGGGCATGTTCATTGGTGGGGAAGTGGCACGTCTCACAAGAAGCTTCACTTTCCAACCTGTTTGAGCTGGGTACTAAAACCTCGGGTGAGAAGACATATCGTAATCCTAGGACCTGTAACTGGGGAGCTTTCAAGGAAGAACTCAAACAGGGACTGGAGGACTGTCCTCCGATACCGAAGAATTCATTGGAAGTTGAGTTTATGTCAGAGTTTCTGACACGAACCCTAACCAACACATTTGAAAAAAACTGTCCTTTAAAAATTAGGAAAGAGGATGAGACGCGGTATGGTGGAATCGAGACCTCTCCAAAAAAGAGCAGAAGTTCGTAAACTCTTCAACCTGTCTAAAAGGTCGGGGAACTGGGAAGTCTATAAGGCGTACCGGAGAGAATATGGCTATGCCATTAGGAAAGCCAAAGAAAATTCCTGGAAGAAATTCTGTGACGGCATTGAAAGCCTTCCAGAATGTGCCAGACTCAGGAAAACTCTACAGAGAGATAAGCAAGGATGCATGGGATCTCTGAAAAATCAACAAGGATAACTCACAAAAACAGAGGAGGAGACCTTAGATTTACTACTAAAGTCACACTTTCCTGGATGTAAGATTATTCTTGATCAAGAGAACAGGAGTACTGAGGCACTAATTTCTAGGGCCTCAAAAACAAACTGGTCTCTTGCAAACTCAATAGTAAACAGAACAAAACTTGTGTGGGCGATAAATTCCTTTCAAACATACAAAACAGCTGGACCTGATGGTATAATCTCGGCACTTCTACAAAAGGGCCAGGAAGTACTGGAGGGAACACTGTGTAAACTATTCCGAGCTAGCATAGCCCTCGAATATGTTCCACAAAGCTGGAGATGTGCAAGAGTGGTCTTCATTTCCAAACCCGGGAAAGCGTCGTACGAGGAGACCAAATCTTTCAGACCAATAAGCCTAAGGTCATTTCTCCTAAAAACATTAGAGAAATTGATCGATAGATATATACGGGACGATGTTCTACGGGATAAACCGATACATCGATACCAGTTTGCCTACCAATCTGGAAAGTCTTGCGATGCAGCCATACATAGGCTAACTCAACAGGCTGAACAAGCATTGGAAAGCAAAGAAATAGCACTAGGAGTCTTCCTAGATATAGAAGGAGCCTTTGACTCGGCTTCATACAATTCAATACTGGGATCTATGCAAAGACGTGGAGTAGCCCACTGCATTACGAGGTGAGTAGAGTTCATGCTTAATCATAGAACCATTACCAGTAATCTCCTTAACACAACAAGAGAGGTCTCAGTTAGCAAGGGATGCCCGCAGGGAGGAGTGTTATCTCCTCTTATGTGGACCTTGGTGGTTGATGACCTCTTATGGGAGTTAGAGAGAGAAAACTTATACACGCAAGCATTTGCAGACGACATAAGCATCGTAGTAAACGGTAAATTTGGGACTGTTGTATCCGAAAGGATGCAGCGGGCACTAAATATCGTCGAAAGAAGGTGCCTAAAAGAGGGATTGTCCACAAACCCGACAAAAACCTCTGTTGTTGCATTCACAAGAAAAAAGGAACCTTCAAGGAATGAAGGAGCTTTATATGTGGGGACAACATCTAAAAATGGCAAAGGAGGTTAAATATCTTGGAATCACTCTCGATGACAAGCTTAGCTTCTGCAGCCATATAGAAAAAACCACAGAAAAATCTGTAAGAATACTATGGGCCTGTAGACGGATGGTAGGGAACGCATGGGGGCTTAAACCAAGTATGATGCATTGGCTTTACACTATGGTTGTAGTATCAATCATATGGTGGCACAAGACTAAAAGCATAACAGCTAACAGAAAATTAGACAAGGTACAAAGACTAGCCTGTCTAATAATAACAGGGGCATTTAGAACTACGCCCACAGCAGCAATGGAGCTACTGCTAGGTCTTCCTCCACTACACCTTGTGGTGGAGAAAGAGGCTATGGCGGCGGCATACATGCTGTTTACTAATGGATTTGGATGGGAACTTTCGAGAAAAGGGCACCACACAATGATATTAGAGAAATTAAAACAAAATCCGGTACTAAGAATGCTATCGGATAGAACGCCCATTATTCACGACTTCAGGAAACCTTTTGATATTCAAATACCAGAAAGGGTCAAAAGCCAGGAAAATAGGGAAAAACAAAACGAATCAATCTGGTATACAGACGGTTCGAAAATGAAAAACAGCACAGGAGCTGGGATCTACCATGTGAACTCAGGGAGGACAATTAGTTTGAACCTGGGGTCACTGACAACAGTCTTCCAGGCTGAAGTAACAGCAATAAATGCCTGCGCCAAAGTCATGCTAAATGATTCTCTTAGAGATAAGAGGATCGTTATCATGACAGACAGTCAGGCAGCCCTTAAAGCACTAAAAAGGGTAGAAGTACAATCTAAATCAATATTTGATTGCCAACAGTCCCTCCAGGCTCTGGCAGAACATAACAAGGTCACACTTGAATGGGTGCCAGGACATGAGAGAGTGTTTGGAAACGAGAAAGCAGACCTCCTAGCAAGGAAGGGAACGGAAAAAACTCTTATTGGACCAGAACCCACATGTGGTATCTCATACCAACATGTTAAATGGGTGTTAAAGGAACAAATAAAAAGAGAACACCATAGGCTCTGGATGGAACTTCCTGGACTTAGACAGTCCAAAAGATTCATAGAGGGGCCATCCAGGAGCAGACAACATCAACTGCTAAACCTTAGCAGAAGCGAACTCAAGGCCGTAATAGGACTCCTTACGGGGCACTGCGGCCTTAGAAGACACCTAAATCTCTTAGGGATATCTGATGACTCCCTATGTAGAATATATGAAGAGGAGGACGAAACTCCTATTCACATACTATGCCACTGCCGGAACTTAAATGGGAACGGGAATGGTACTTCGGGGTACAATATCCGGAACCTGAAGAAATCGCGAAAGCACCCATCAGACATATTCTTGAATTCATCAAGAAAATCAATCTGCTGGGATAGAAACTGTGAGGGATACAATAAGCCTAGAGCGTCAGTACAAGTGGGCTTTGAACCACGCCCTAATTCAGATAGATAGAAGTACTGTATATGTTCAGGACGTCTGTTTTTGGACTTAATTTTAAGTTCAGTAGTATTTTAACGTTAAGTGGACGTCCATCTTAGGTCATTATTTATTTAGCCTACCAGATAATACCCATCTATATACACTTTCTTTTTTTTTAATATAATTGGTCATTAAAAATTGACAAATTGAATTCTAACAGCAGAAGTTTAAAATCTTATTATATTATACCATATCTAGAAAAAAAGTTTTAAAGTGGCTCGTTGGTCGAGATCGTCTAGGGGTTGAAAGCTTAAAACGACAATGGACGTGTCGTGAGTTTGATTACTACTCAGGACAAGCTGTTTTAAATAAACAAACAAAAATGGTGTATAGCTGGTGGCAAAAATAATAAATAAATAATAAATAATATAAAATAGTGTGTGGTGAGTTGCGGTTGTGTAGTAAAAAAATGGGATTGATGGACGTCCCATGGATCTATTTCTGCTGTCTGGGGTAGCTTTACGTTCATTGACATTGACAAATGACGTTGTAAACTTTCGGGACTAAGGCTTAGATAAAAAAACTCACCTAGACCTATTCCGGCAAAAAGCCGAGCTACAATCACCAAAACATAATTTCTTGCAAAACTTATCAAAACCCAATTAATCAAAAACATCACAGCTAATCCAATTATCGTTGGTTTTCTGCCGAATTTATCTGCTAAATATCCTGTAGGTATGGCGGCTACAAGAGCCCCGATGGTTAGCGTCGAACCTATAAGTGCTGCTTGACTGGCGGTCACGGAAAAACCAGGTGACGTATTCGCAGTCAAATTTGAAGGAATTTCGATGTGGGTTAAGGCTGGGGACGTCCAACATAGTACAGTTCCTGCGCAGAATGTTCCTAGTGATACTGCAAAAAAAAACGCTGTTTTAAGCTACCATTTGGGAACGTGCGACCAAGGGAGACGACAGGCAGTAAGCGGAAAATCCTACCGTGCTAAAAATGCTATCACCGGTCGCGCCTTCCCGAATGTGTTTCATATAATTAAATGTGTTCAGACGTGAAGAGACCGTTCAGTCTCTTTCGCTGTCGCCGCGTGTATCAAGTCGGTCTCCGGTCTCGCCTTCTCAAATGGTAGCTTAATAAAGAGTGATCCACAAAAAAATGTTTCTAAAGTAGGCCAAGACTGTTAACACAGAGATACGAGTCATGTACGAGATAACTACGCGCGGATTTGAATTAAAACCAAACTGACACTTAAAAAGAAGAAGAATTGTACGCTCAGCATGCGTGAATTTTTCCAAGGCCTACTTTATAAATATTATTGTGCATGTCGCTTTTTTTAACATTAAACAGGTATCAGAATTTAGTTTTATAAGTTATTTGGCTAGCTGAGACACAAGTCGCATAGTACCACATATTATATCTAATGAAAATTATTATTTTATTTTATATGCGGTTTTGACATTGTAATTTAAAATTTTAATGTAGATGTTTTATTATTCAATTTCCGAATCATATACTATTCATTTCTTTTTGATTCCCAAAAGCCGTTTGATATAAATTATGGTAAGCTTTGATATTAATATTTTTGCCGTTTAATGTTTTTCATACAATGATTACACATATATTTATTTGTACATGTTAGCAGGTAAACAAATTTTGTGTGATTACTCTTTGTAATATAATGTAAAGAACATTGGCAGTCAAGAGTGGGGGGTGCGGGAAGTGATGGCGGTAGTAGCGAACCGTCGACCGCACTGTCCCGGGCAGAACAAAATGATGGGTCGCCTTGAGTGCTATAGTGAAATCAAGCTGTTAGTTGATGCTTACGCATTTTTCTATTTGACTTAATTATTGAAAATTGTTATTATATAGGTGTAATTTAAATACAAGGTAAATTTTCGTGTTGCAGTGTTGCCAGTCTAGTATAATTGTACTAGATCTAGTACATTTTCTAAGAATCTGGTACACTCAACGTAAAATCTAGTACCTTTTTCTTTTTCAGCGTGTTATCATTAGATGCATGTAAAATATATTGCTGGGATCTTGCTCCTTGTTTTGTTTTCGTTTGCTAAAACCCTTTTTTTTTTTTTTTTTTTTTTAATGAACCAAATCACATCACAATTCATTCGAAACTCCGGTACATTTTACAGAATCTAGTACATTTTTATGAAATCTGGTACATTTTTTAGACAAATCTGGTACATAACAAAAATATATTCTGGCAACACTGGTCGACTGTACTCTCCCAGGCAGAACGAAATGATGAGTCGCCTTGAGTGCTATAGTGAGGTCAGGCTGTTAGTTGTGCTCATGCATTGTTCTATTTGACTTAATTATTGAAAATTGTTAATTTGTAAAAATAGTGGGGAATTTGTGGAGAAACGAAGAATTTGTAAAAATAGTGGGGAATAGTGGGGGAAGTTGTAAAAATAGTAGGTAATTATAAGGTTATTAGTGAGGGAAGAGGGTTTTTGAAAGAAAGTGGGGAAATGTGGGGGGAATGGGGAAATGTGTGGTGTAATTTGTAAAAATGGTGGGGACGAGGAGAAATTTGAGGGGAATTTTGTAAAAATAGTAGGGAATTACACATTCATAAAAAAATAATAACTGAACCTCTGTCACATTCGTATTCTTGTTTCATCCCATTTTTCCATGAATTGCCTTTTATGATTTTTGATTTTGATTTGGCCAAGAAAGTTTGCATTAATTCAGTACCTGATAATATGTTAGTTTATTAATGAGAAAACATGTAATAAAGTGCTGAAATGGACGTGGCCCTTCTTACAATTGGACTGGCAACATCGGTAGTGACTGTCCTAATTAAAGAACATTCCCTTGTGAAATTCAAGGAAATATGGGATAAAACATGAAACTGCAGAGTTGCCAGGGAGTTTTTAAGTTATCCTGACAACACTACCGCAAACAAATACTTGACTATGACTAGACAGAATCTGCGCCTGATCACAGGCATTCTGACCGGTCATTTCCAAGTACGGAAGCATATCCATATCATGGGGCTATCAAAATCCGCACTCTTCAGAGGGTGCGAACAAGAAGATGAGACCATTGAGCATATCGTCTACGATTGCGCGACGCTCTCATTTTGTTACCTATACATCATAGTAATATTTATTTTAATTGTATTAGATTTTAACTGTCATACCGATTAAAACATTCATGATACTGTTTCTTTACTCTTTTACACTATGTGACGCTTTACCCTATTGTGACTGTTATTAACTCTAGTATGACGCTTTACTTTTTTTACTACACTTTGCCCTTATGTGACGCTGTAGCCTACTGTGAACTGTGACGCTCGTATTTAACTAATTTAATTACGAGTATTAAAACTAAAATGCTGAAACTGGCGGTGGAGGGTGGTAGAAGCCCACAAAGTGGCTACTTCCAAAAAAGAGGAATCTAGTGACGCCTCGGTGGCGTCGTTATTAGCCTATAAGACTTTGGCAACCTGAGAGGCATGTCCTATTTGCCCGAGAAGATGCACAATGGTACTAAAGAGGCCTAAGTATTGTGTGGTAACCCACCCTTCCCCTCCTTACATACATACATTTTTAAATATTTTTATTTTTTAGTTCATCTCCCTGTTTGTTTTAAATAAATACAGTTACGTAATTATATTATCTTAATAGTGTTTAAGAATTGTTGCAAAAACCTATTTTGACTTCAATCTAACACTTCAGTAGCAATATAATATTAATCCTAGTGTAATGTAAACGGAAAATATTTAATTAAGTATTATCTTTTATAATGTATTATTCCTAACACTTGAAGTTGAAAATATCTATTGCATTCTTTGTTGTAATATTTATTTTTTTAAATAAATATTTAGTACGCTTATTATTCTTTTTCAAGTGGAGAAAATGTATGTTTTATATAAACTATATCAAGTCTAGCCACTCTATGAATGAAAAATTATTTTTACCCACTTGACAAGTGACTGTTGTTGGACTCTAATTATCAGTGCTACTTTTAAAGTGACGCCGGGAAACAGTGTTACTGAAGCTTATTTTCTAGATTAAGCAAATATATTCTACAGAACATTTTTTATGATTCTTATGGGTACAATACACCGACCTTGATATTAAACTGGATGGCTATATGACATAAACCCTACTCCTAATTTCTCAGCCGACATGGGTGAAAAAAACGGTCGGTGCGCATGACAATTTGTGCGCCAGACTGTCAATTTTAAGCATTCTACGTCACATTTTTCACGGGCGTACTATGATAAATTATATTATTTTTTATTAATAACGCCCTATTTTAATAATAATTATTATGGGAACATTTGTTTCAGCTGCGTATTAATCAAAAATCATTTTTAAGTGATTTTCTTAAATTAAAAGTTGTCTAGTTGAATGTAATACGTGTTAAATTTAATTTTGATGATCCTTTTTAGTACATTTCGATACGCATATGTTGGCGCCGAAGTGTCAAATATCACCTCGCTATGCGGCTTGATTTTGTTGATCGGCTTTGGTCTTCCAGTTTAATATATAGTTCAGTGGTACAATACCATCTGTGCATCCATCGGTGCTTCCAAAAGATCTGTTCTTTAAATGCAAACAAATAATACCGCTACAACAGCATGATTTTTACGGGGGTCGATCGATAGTTACAAACCTAATACCATTTGTTCAGAATAATCTGTGTACACAGACTTCTCCAAAGCTTTTGATAAGGTGCATCATGAAACCTTGTTAGTAAAATTGGAGAATTTTGGGGTATACGGCAACCTTCTACGGTGGATTAAATCATATTTAACAAACAGAAGTATGTGCGTAACATTCAACAATAAAAACTCACATTTTATAGCCATAACCTCAGGTCACACATCTAGGTCCTTTACTTTTTAGCATATTTACATATGATATAACGACATGCTTTAAAAATTCTCAATGTCTGTTATATGCCGACGATCTAAAACTATTTAAAATTATTGAAAGTAGAAGAAATTGTGAGTTGTTGCAGGAGGACATCGTCTGGTTTCAAATATTGATAAATGTAATAATATAACCTTTTCGCGATTGTCGTCCTATATCCAGTGGAATTACTTCATCCAGAAAAATATTATCAGAGAAGTTTTTAGTATCAAAGATCTTGGAATTACCCTCAATTCTAAGTTAAACTTTTATATTCATGTAGAAAATATTGTCCAAAAATCTTTAAGAATCTTAGGGTTTATTCTCAGAAATACAAAAAATGTTTCTAATGCTAAGTCTATTTTAATATTATATAACTCAATGGTTAGAAGCACTCTTGAATATGGGTCAACTTTATGGTCACCTTGTTATTATAAATACATCAGTCGGATAGAAGGAGTTCAAAGAAAAATAAAACATTTAAATTACCGGTTTAATAGAAATATAATTCTTGAATCATATGATTTCAGCTTACGACATTACAAAATAAATAAACTTGTTTCAAGGAAAGTTGTTGCTCATCTTATATTTCTTTAAAAACTCATAAACAACAAAATTGACTCTGTGTATACACTAGAAAACTTAAACTTTTACGCGAAAAATCACACATCTCGCTCAACTAAGGTCCAAAACTTATTGTTGACAATCTGTCGATGACTAGTAATTGACAACTTGTCAGGTACTGGTCGGGGATTGGGACTCAACTCGGAAGTCGATTATGTTGGAACACATTTTTTAAATTCAACAGACGCGTTATTGCAATAATAAACCACAAAATAAAATAAATGATCATGAACAAAAACTATAAAGAATAAACTTGATTAACAAATACAATTTAGAACTGTCAGTTACAAATAATATAATTTCAATCACGATATGTTCAGTTTATTGCGGCTTTGCGCATGTCTTGACAATTCGTTCCTATTCAAACCCAGGGCTGGTATATCTAAGGGGGTCGCGACATAGACCCAGTAAATGGATGAGGGGGTGACTGAGGCTAGGGGGGAAATAGTAGTCAGCTTAAGTTGGCAACACTTTTCTGATGTTCGTTTGAACGAGCATCGTGCATAATAATGTCAATATGGTACGAGTGGAATGAACCACTGTTTTCCTCGTAGTCGTAGTCCAATGTCGAATTAAAACTAAAAACATTTTGTACTTTTTTATATACCAAATTATGCAATTTGTTTCCACTTTATTTTAATGTTACATGAATAGGTACATGCGTTTGTGCTGTGGTAAATAAGTGTTCATGTGAAAATTATATCTTAAACTACATTGTGACTGCACTCATCTCGAAACTGAATGCTGTAAATCCAGGATTTAAATCTTTCATAGTGTTGCTTGGGATAAATTGTAAAAAAGGTGTTGGACAAAACGTTTACAACCTAAAATTGCATGAAAAACACGATAGAAGAAGGAATTTTACCTTGATGATATTCTCTTTCAACATTTTTAAGTGACTGTGGTTTGGTGAATGGACTGTTACCACAGTCAAAAGATTCAAAGTAAAAAAAGTGACCAAGTTCTAATAAGAATACATAAGTTAAATATGAAAATGTAATTACTTGATTTAAATGTGATTTAATTAAGAGTTACATACCTAGATGTTACATATAAACAAAGTGCTGTAAAATGTTAATAAATGCAAAACCATTATTAAAGAGAAATTAGTTATCATCAATAAGATATTTTGTAGTAGCTGGTCTTTATAAATCATAAACTTGAAAGACTGAATTAGTAGTCACTTTTACACTAGAAGTAAAAACAAAAAAAATGTGTGGTTGAGACTAATTTGTGTATTTAATAAAAACATATTTAACATAAAAGCAGGTGTTATTTGAAATATTTTATTTTAGTTTAATAATCTTTATAAATTGTGGGTACATTTGATCCGAATCTTGCAAATACTATAAAATGCATATGCTTCTATATGGTTAGCATTGGAGTAGAAGCACAAAAGTTTTGAATAAAAATATATTCTTTAAATACAATATTCACTAGATATGCTAATTTTGGTAATTTTCTATTCGAAATCATACATGTTTTCTATTATAGTTTTCATACGTTTATAATTCTGGAGATACCGGAATATTTTGCTTGATTACTAAACTTTGGATGTTTTTGTTGTAATCTGCTGTTAACACTATTGTCCTGAAATATTAAAAAAGCTAGACAAAGGTTTGTCCAACTCTTTTGTCAGCTTTGTTAATCTATGCTGTTATTCTGTATGCAGACATTTTTTACTGGAGATTTTCTCTAAGAACTGTATTCAGTTTCAAATTTCGGCCAGTTTTAGGAAAGTACCTCTGTTGTAAAGGTATTTCAAAGCCATCCTTTGTGAGATGTAGACAACAAATACATGCTAAAATGTATAGAAAACAAATCGCAAGATATTACACAAAATTATTTAAATTAACTAAAAACATACAAATGAAGTGAATAATACCTACCAACAATTTAAAAAGACCTAAAATAAATAGACTTAAGGGACTGGAGCTCTAAAAAAGGGAGCAATAATTTGTTATGCATCATCTATAAGAAAATTGTCTTCATCTCTTCAATTACCTTTTAAAATAAACAAAACCAAAACAGCACAAAATTGAAAGTGATCTACTTTTCCCGACGTATTCTATGTACATCTGAGATTAATAATTTATTAAATTGAAATATTTTATCCTAAAAAATATGGGCATTTTATAATGGAAATGTCATTTGAAAAATGACATTGATTTTTTTTCTTATATTGGTAAACCTCGCGACTACAAGTTGCCACGTTGCCAGATCAATGGCGACTACTATGTGACTACTATTTCGAAAAAAATGGCGTCCAAAATGGACTCCTATGTCGCGACCCCCTTAGATATACCAGCCCTGATTCAAACCCAGAAACTGATTTGACAGTACATAAATCGGTTTGTGATTAGTTTTGGTTGTGTTGGAACACTATGTATTTGTACAGTTTCGAGTTTAAGGTTTGTTGGAACACAAATTCTAGACTGCGCAGAATCCCGACAGTACGCAAACTGATTGGGTTTATGTTGGAACAAACCTCTAATCTTTTTTATTATAACTCTCCGGTAACAAGACTGCAATAATACTATAATCAATATTTTGGCCACCTTGATCTGGCGTACGTCTCACTGTACACACTAAGCCACGCTGCTTTTTCGGTTCTCTCGTGACGTACCTCCTATTTAGCATTGTAAAAAACTCTCGAAATGACCGCACCAAGCATCGTGCCTTGGAGCAGAAGAAAATAAAAAAAAAAAATAAAAAAAAAATATATAAATTAAAATAAATAAGCAAAAAATAAAATGATAAATCTAAACATGTATATTATCAAAATGCTAAAACTATTGAGTTATCAACTAAACCTGCGCTTTAAATATTAATATACTGTTGACACTTTTTTTTTCTTTTTTTTTAAATTATTGTTAATTATAGTATTAAATTAGTATGATGTACTGATCATGAAAATGTGTAACTTATTTTTCGTGCAACCTTATATAATTGGGCATTTATTTGCTTGTTAGGTTGTCAAATTTATAAATAAATACCTAAATATGGCACAATATCTCTCCTTTGATATTTTTTGTTTATTGTAAAAATCAGTCCTTTAAAAGTTACTAAAGGCATATACTTTTAACTGAAGAGCACCGTATAGATTAGTCGTGGGTAAATTGCACTCACCTGAAGTTACAGCGGCAACTTGCATGAATTTTTTCGCCGGAACTTTTTCTATCATTGGCAAAGTAGTTTCCTGATACATCTCTGTCTTTTTTGAAGATATTCAATACTAAAATACAATGTTAACATCTGGCGTGTCAGCGATAAGTGATGAGCTATATAATTTATTGCTCAGATAAAGTTTTTCTTTTATATAGGAGTCTTATGTTTGCGAAGAAAAAGATTAAAAACTTGATATTTTAAAATGTTATCTTGTCTTGTTCGCCTTATAATTTCTTTAGGTAGGAATAAACAGTGAACAATTATTTACAAGTTTATTTTTGTTTGATTTCTTTCGTTGCATATTTTATACAAGGTGTTTCAAACTATTCATAAATAGCTTTTTGCTCGCGACTATAACATTCAGTTATGGGTAGTCTTGGAGTTTAACTAACATCACCTTTATTAACAAACTTAAGACAATACGATCGTGCTTCTAAGAGAGATAGAGAGAGGGTCGATTGTCCAATGGTCGTCCATTTTAGATCCTTTTGAAGGTCAGGGCGTTTATAGCCATATTCGAACGCACACGTTTAGTGGTATTTTGACGTCCAGCGGACGTCCATATTAGGTCATGATTTATGTAGGTACCTATACACATTTGCTTTTCTTTCCAATAGTTATTTGTGTATCAAGGGCGTAACGTTGATATTGTTTGGCTGAATAATAAATTTGCGACCGAGGCGTAGCCGAGGCGAAGCAACTTCTGGCTTGGCCAAAAAAGATCATACAGCCTACCCAGACAGCACACCAAATCCTTTGGCTATCTACTAAACATCCCAATATCCACTGAATGTCCAGTCCATGGTGTATATCTATTTTATATCCATGAGATGTAATTTATAGACATGCAAATGTCCATAAATAATTGTAATTATATAGCAAATTATTAAAAAACTACGCCATTGTGCTCGCCATTGTGGCTAATAGTACCGTTCAGATATTTAAAATTATTTTTTTAAGGTGTATTCAATATCCCATGGACATCCACTAAATATATCAAAGTCTAGGCGCGAACAAAATATATTCTGTGGATATCTCTGGGATTTGGTGTGTTGTCTGGGTAGGTACTCACATTTTTTTAGGCGGCTGTCTCATCAAGTAGATTCAACTTTTTTTACATTATTGTTCCTAAAAAGAGACTTAAATGCAAGAATCGTTTCAAAATTTTTATTGATCGAAAAAAAAATATCGTAAAATAATAAAATCTTTACAAAATATTAACGTATGTTTATAAAAAGCTAAAGTAAAGTAAATGCTGCCAAAAAAACTTATACTTTAAGAATAAATCCGTAAAATGTAATTTTTTGTAGTAGTGGCATACAAATATATAACTGGGCCTTACACATTGAATCTATCGCATTTCCTTCTACCAGCGGAAATTTGATTTCTTATTAACTATTAGAATCATATCTGGTAACAAATTAGGCCGTCCTATCCAAATAATTGCCTGATAAAGTTGACTGCGTTAGTGTTTTGACATCGTTTGTTGCGTAATCTCGTTCTGCTCGTTACATAAAATTAGATATTTCGTAACTGGTTGCATAAATAGCTATTAACGTATTAAAAGGCGATTAATACACTAGGTCGTTAAATAACTATTTAATTTCTTTATATACCTACTTTTTTTATAAAAACTGATTAAAAAATCTGTGAGACTAACGCTGAACGTAATATATTGTAATGTGATGTAATGGTGGTGATTAATTTTAATTTAAAATTTTGTATATGTTTTAATTATAACTTTCCATTATGGCACATACCACAAATTTAACAGAAATCATAATATTTTTAAAATAAATTAAAGAAAGATTTCATCAAAAGTGTTCAGACACTTACCTATATCCCTCGTATACTGTTAACTCCTTTATAATAAATAACCCGATAAAAGATCAGAGACTCCATCTGTAATTATAGTTTTATTTCTAAGTATATGGGCTCTCAGGGTTAAATGTAGGTTCCAAAAAGCTCTCTAGAGTAATATTAAAAATTATGAAAGAAACAGAAACACAAATTTACATGATTTAATTTTCCTGTTTCTTTATATTTAAAGGATTTCAGAGGCAAAAGGAAGGAAATCAAAAAAAAACTCATCCCCGTTTCCATCTTTTTTATTCCAATCTAGATGGAAGAAAATAAACCTGCCCAATCAAAATTTTGACAGTTTGGTTATATTATTAAAATTTAGTTATTGTAATTATAGGTACAGGTGAGTTTATTTAAACGGTTTATTATACACTTTTCATAATAATTTATCTCTTATTAATTCAAAACTTATTTTAAAATTCATGTTGTAGATATTTTATAAATTTACTTTTTAAAATTCATAATTTGCGTGTGGTAGTACTGTCTCACTAAATCTGGTTATTTTTGAACTTATCAGAATTAGAATTATGCGAGGTGCAGTCTAAAAGTCGTGATGAAAACTTTTTAGTTTTTAATTTTATAAATGTTTAATAATTATCTTGATTTCTTGTAATTTCGTGAACTGTTATAATATATTTGTAAAAATCAAAACTCCTAATTAATGAAGCAAAAAATAATTTTACCATTGGAAATAAATCCGGTACTGTTTAATGAAGCAACATCGACTAAAAAAAAACTCAATGCGCATGCTCAGTAGTGCCGCAAAGCTGCTTGTTGATGCCAAAAGTGAATTATAATATTGGAGTATATGGAAAATATTCGGCATTTTACTACGATTCAGAGCTGGGTAATTCCTAGGCAAAAAGTAATTAATAATTAAAAATATTTTTTTTTCATGTAATTGTACTCAAGTGCTTTTTTTTCTTAAAGTAATTTGGAATTGTAATTGCAGCAAAATCTATGGAGGAATTGTATTTTGTAATTATATTATTTAAATTGTCTAAATACAATTACTTATCATAAGTGCAATTACTTTTTCAATAATAATTACTTTTTCCAATTACAATTACATTTATAAGTACAATTATATTTTTTAATTACCATGATTTTTAAATGCGTGTTTACGAGATGCTCGTAGTATAAAAACAAAACATTTCCTGTTTGAACCGGTGACTAAAGCTCGGACTCGCATCCATGTCATTTGTTTGAATGCATTTGACGAAAGCGCTGTGCCGTGGAAAAAGCTTCAGTGAAGTAGTGAAATTGTTGAACCCAAACTGAGATCAATATATTTTATGGTTCTCTTTGGCCTAGCATAATTTCACTACTAAATAAATAAAGTAAAAACATTCAATTGTGGTGGAAATATACTGTTAGATAGTGCATTTAAAGGTATAACAAAAATTACTGACGTTATAAGATCGCCATGTCGTTTTGGATGCAATTTCCCATCTAGAATTTAAGTTACGTTGGTTTCCAATAGTAGAGACAAAAGCTGAATTACGCAAAGAAGATTTAAAGCAGCTTTTAGTGGCAGAATGTGAGCTCTTAAAATTTCATGATAATCAATATCAAGACTTAGAACCTCTTTTAAATCCAAATCCTACGAACAAAGATATTACAAATAAAAACTTTTTTGACTTCAATGAAGACGTAATATCTTCGGTTGTACAAACAAATGGGTACAGTTAAAAGTATTACAATATCTAGATGATTTTTAAATATAATACGGCACTTTCCTTTTTTGGGCCCGTTGAAAGGTTATTCTTATTTGCCACAATTTTCAACGCTTCCAGAATGCATGCACTGTATGACAGAAATTTAAAAAAAATTGTTAATATCTTAAGTAACAATATAAACATTTTGTGAATTATACCTATAGTCTACAGAAAAAAGGAGTGCAGTAATTTAATTTGAAGAACGTAGTACAGGTTCAAGAGGTAGATATTTTATTTATACCTCATCCTTCAATGCTTATTTGTAGTTAAAATAAAAATTTTAATACATCTGATCGGCCTAATAAAAGTTTTCGTTTAGATTTAATCATGTTTCCATGGTTTTTAATTTAATAAATCTTTTCTTTTGATAGATATTGTGAGGGTTTCGTGTTTTATTAAATGTAGACGAAAGAAATTGAAGAACTTTGTAAAAATTAATATGTCGACAACGGTCAGCTCATATGTCTATGTATACAGGGTGTTTTCGAACTTGCGGCGTCCACATTTGTAGGGGTGGTAGTTTGCATAATTTGAGACCGATTCGCAGATTTCATTTTTCCAAAAGAATTAAAATAAAAATAATTAAATATTAATTAAAAATTTTAAACAGGTACGGTCTTGCACAGCGATGGAACGCCTCGACTCGCGCGCGCTACGATCGCACTAGAAAAACAATCGGCCACGTCTTTCAATACCGGCCGGGCGGAGGGAGAAATTTGCAAATCGCATATGTTTTTGAGTTGTAAATCCCGATGAGTAACCGATCATGTGACTATTGCGCTACACGCTCAGGGTAGGACCCGCTTTTTGATTTTTTTTATAATAGCTCTTTTGTTTATTACAATTTTTTTAGAAAAATGAAATCTGCCAATCGCTCTCAAATTATGCGAACTTCCACCCCTACAAATTTGGACGCCAAGTTCGGAAACACCCTGTATGTCTAAAACATTAAGGCATACGTATCAACTGATAGCTTGATACGTATGCGTATTTTTCACATTCTCAGTATGCCATAATTTTAGCTCATTTTAGGCTAATTTTATACCAACATAGAACATTTTCCACTCCTTTCTTTAACAGGAAAATGATATCAAGCCACCTCTGGATTTTTAAAATTTTGATTACGTCATAATTTTGGGCTAATTTTAGGATAATTTTAGGCTAATTTTAGGCTAATTTTAGGCTAATTTTATACAAATCTAAAAAAAATTCCGCTCTTTTTTTATAGAAAAAATTAGGTACCTACTCTGTTGGCTTACCAACATACACTTATTGCGTTTTTCATTAAAAAATTCAGCAATGTAAAAACGGCATAATTTTGGGCTCATTTTAGGCTAATTCTAAACTAACATAAAAAATTTCCACTCTGGCCTTTATCGGAAAAAATTGTGTGCTATGCTAGCTACGACATTATAATTATTTCCGTTAATAAAATTAAAGAAAATAAAAAACGGACACAGCATAAAACATAAAAAATTTCCGCTCTTCCCTTTATTTGAAAAATTAGGTGCTCTGGTACTTGACAATACGACTTTATAGAATTTTTCGTTAAAAATTGAAATATCTAAAAAATGGAAACTTTATAATTTTAGGCTCATTTTAGGCTAATTTTATACCAACCAACCAATCAACCAAATTAGGTACTATGTTGCCTTAAAATGAGCCTAAAATTATTTCGTGTCTATTATTTAGTTTCCTCAATTTTATTAACGGAAAACACTGGAGTAGAAGTTTTTTGTGTTGATATAGAATTAGTCTAAAATTAAACTAAAATTATGACGTAATCAAAATTTTAAAAATCCAAAGATGCTCTGCTAGCTTTATATCAAGCTAACAGTATACCTACTATTTTCTATAAACAAAGAGGAGCAAAATTTTTTTATGTTGGCACAAAATTAGCCTAAAATGAGCCTTAAATTTTTTTAATGAAAAAGCAATAAATACCTGTTGTTAAGCCAGCAGAATACCTAATTTTTTCTATAAAGAAAGAAGCTTATACAGTATGGCTCGTATAATTTTTATATTTTATTTTTCTGAAAATAATTATTTAATAAGTCGCTTCAGAGTACTCCCCTAAAGATAAAGACACATAAACACCAACTAAGTATGAAAAAATAGAAATAAGAAAAGCAGCCATCACGAAGTTTCAATCGTACTGTATGGTCGAGTCCGCACGTTGTAGTTTTGGGAAGAGCCACACTCAAGGAACCAAAGAGCCGCGGTTTGCCGACCCCTGGTCTAGGAAAATGCTATCTGCCTGGGCAAATATAGTAAAATCTGTAACAACTAGTGGTTACAAAAGTGGATTCAGAGTTATTTGGAAGCAAATATTCTTGATGGTTAAGCGTAACAACTAGTTGCTAAGAAAGAAATATTATGGACCCTAGGTAATAAATATTTTAATAGACCAAGAAATTAATGGGAGGTATATTTACTGATAAAATAATAGATATCAGAACTAAATAAATATATTATTTCAGAAAAGGGTATACTATTTATTGCGATCTGTATATGTAAGGAGGGGTTACCCTCTATGTCACTTAGGCCTCAATATGCATCCTTCAGGGGAATTTAAGACCTGCCTCTTAGCTTTCCAAAACTTCTACTGGTTAATATATAACGTCACTGAGAGCTGTCTATAGGAACCACCTCTTAGATCTTGAAAAGGCCTGCATGTCTGCACATTAAATATTCTAGTCTTGATGAAAGTTCACCAACAAAATATAAAAAGTGCCAAATGATAAATTATATTTCAGTTAACGTCCATGACCAGGAGATATAAACCTCATTAGTCCCGTCCCTCCTGACTTGAAGGTTAAATTGTTAAAAGCCTGATTTACACCACACATTTAACTTTATAGCAACTGTAAATACTAGAATAGCTACTTTTGTCAAAGTTGTTATACGGTTACTATAAAAATAATACAACTTGTAAGCGTGATAAAGATCAGGCTTTTAACAACTTACCCTCCGAGTCGGAAGTGCCGGGAAGTCAAGTGAAGTGTAATTTTATCATTTGGTTACATTTTGTTTGTGGACTGGCTTGAAATTAAAAAAAAACCTAATACAGCAAAATGTATTATGCAATTTTATCTCAAGTAGAACTGCAGGCCTTTTGACGATCTGAGAGGTAGTCATCCTTATAGACATCTCACCTGAAAGCAGCATCTGGAGGATGCACAATGGGGCTATTGAGGCCTAACTAATGCAAGGGGAACACACCTTACATAAACAGATTACAAGCAATAAATAGTAGGCTTTGCTGAAGTCTTACTTTATTCCTAAAACAAATCATTAGAAAACAATATGATAAGTTCAGATTATCTTATCAATAAACGTACCTCCTATTAATTTCTTGATATATTTAAATATTTATTATCCAACGGGACATATTTCTTTCTCAGCATCTCAGCAACTAGTTGTTATGCTTAAGCATCAAGAATGACTGCTTCTAACGGGGCTATGATAGACAAGTAATTTTATTTTTAACAGACACGTTATTTGTGAACAGGTTGTAATTTCTGTGTGTTTATAAAATAACAGACCTGTTAAAAATAACATAGGTTGTCAATCATAACCCCCTATGTCCACTAGAAATCAACTTTTATACCCACTAGTTGTTACAGATTTTATTTTAGAGAATTATGATTTTTTCAAAGTGGTAACATAACGACTGACCTTGGTCTAAGCCACTTTGCTAGCTAGCAACTGCATGATACAGAATAAACTGTTATATCAGTAACAAATGTGTAATTTTAAAAGAGGAAGGTTGAAATAAAACGATTTAAATTGTAAAATTTTTACTGTTTAATTACAAAATATCAACATTCACGACTGAGATCTTTGTATATACATAAAATGACTAGTTTTATTATTTATATCTTTGGTACATATTTAACAAGTAATTCGTTACAGTTATCGTTGTTTATTGATTTTTGTTTTACTTTAAATATATAAATCTTGCTTGAGATTTTAATGATCAAGAAGTTGAGGCGCTGTATGGTATACTAGATATCGCAGGTTTGAATTCTACTGGGCTCGTGGAATTTTTCAATTATTCTTTGGTCCGTTCTCACTCTTGAGAGTTTAGAATTAGAAAGCATTTCTTAATTTTCATATTTGAAATAAATATTATTTGTGGATAATATTTTCAAGTTTTTTTTTTTAAATAAATTTGTAGAATTTTTCTGTACCTTTCTCTTATTGAAATATTTTTAATAAAATATGTAACTTGCAATAAGGAGATACCTTTAAAAAAAACGACTTAATAGTAGAAAAAGCAGCGATAAATAACCAAAAATAATTGAATTGGCCCAAATTCCATATTTGTCACTGCAATTTTCTTCTCATACAACTTCGTAACTTTTCTTTAGCATTTATTACTTCTTTTACTTTCTCTTTTTTTTAACGAAATAAATTATTCCGAAAAATGAGCACCTTGGTTTATTTAGCACGTGTACCCGAACAGCGTGTGTCACGGGGGAATCCCGTTGCTGCCGTGCACCCTCATGTGTCTGTTCAGGTTGCCACTTTGGCTGAACCTGAGTAGGCATAATTTACATTCGTAAGGCTTCTCCCCGCTGTGGATCCTGAGGTGTTTGGTTAAGGTACTGCTGTCTGAGAAGGCTTTTTTGCACAGCCTACATCTGTAAAAGGTAACCAGTTTAATATTTGTAATTTAAAACCAATCAATTTAATACATCAACCAATGACACTCTTATTTTTTCTAGCACACGCCAATCAAAACAAACTGCGTCTGAAAACACTGCATGGTGCAGTGTTTCCACCAGATTTTTCAAAAATGTATTAATATATAGGGTGTTCAATTTAAAGAAAATAGGATTTGAAATGGCACCATTTTGCTTTTTTCTAAGCGAAAGTTTTAATTTCATTTCCGATATACCCTAATAAAATTTATGACCCTACTATGAAGACTAGAGATAAGGTGGCGAATCGGCATGCTCAAAATACGGTCCCAAAAATCTCACGGCAATTGAGCTTTTATAATTAACCGCATGGGTGCTGGTACGGTTTACGTAGTTCGAAATACATGGCTTCTTATGGGAATTATACACAATTTGTCAAAATAATAAAAATAAACTTGTTTATAGCTAAATAAAGCACAGAACATACTGTTGTATTTATTTCTAAATAAGTCTTACATATTTAAATTTATACATTATTTACTATTTATTCCTATTTAAGTAAAATGCAAATTATTGATGATAAGTGTTGAAATTTGATGGGTAGGGCTAATTTTTTTTTAATTAAAGCTAAATAGGGCTAAGGGCATACTAAGACACGGTTTAAATGAAAATATTTAGTTAAGATATGGGTTGTGACTATTTTACAATAAATATATATTATTTAAAAATAAATACATTATTTTACTTACACTAGGAGCTTTAAAAGACTTGGATTTTTATCTCCTTGTGTTTTCTTTAATTTTATATCGGATTTATATCCCGTTTTTCAACCCGGAACGAAGCAAATCCTGCTTTGCCGTTTTTTGTTACTCATTGTTACTTGTAGTCTGGTTCTTTATTTCAACTTATTTTTATTCTTTTCACTAAATTTTACAAAAATCACTTTAATTCCCATTGACTTGCATAGAAAATAGACGTCGTTATTTTGCCACCCGCCAACTACAGTAGTTTTTTGGAACTCCATAAAAATAGGGACGGAAATTTGAAATTTGACCAAGGCCGATTCACCTCCTTATCTCTAGTCTTCATAGACCCTACTTAAGTCTTTCGTGGCAAAACCGCATCGGGATATGTTAATTGGTTCTGAAGATACAAGTCCTCAATATGTGGTAAAATACGAGGGTGGTTTGACGCAAGAGTGACTTTTCAATGAAAAAGTTACTTTACTGTAAAGAAATATTTTATTTTTCAACATAAACTCTTTTTAACTCTAGACACTTAGCCCAGCGAGTTTCCGTTTCTTTCAAACCATCAAAAAAATAATCTTTCGGATGTCCCGCAAGATACGCGTTTGTCTCTACCATCATCTCTTCATTTATTTGAAATCGCTTTCTACCAAGCCATTTTTTAAGTTTGGGAACAAAAAGTAATCGGAGGGAGCTAGATCAGATGAATATGGCGGATGAGGCAATAAATCGTGACGCAATTTGGCTAATAGCGGAAACAAAACAGTTTTCTTTATATGAGTATTAAAACTAATCTACCAGTCAGATTTTTTAAAATTTTGACAGATGACATCAGAAACAATATAATCACCATAGCGAAAGTCCCATACAGCACACATTATTTCAGAAGTGTTTTAGAAATGTTCCAAATATATAACATTTCAAGCACAAGTTTCTGAAATATTTCTGAAATATTTTAGTTAAATATTTCACTAAAAATGTTTCTAAAACATAGCATACATGTTACATAAAAGGTTACTAAGCGGGTTATGTTGTAAAAGGCCAACAATTAATGAAGAATTTCTGATTTGTAAGAAGAATATGGAATATTAAGGATAGTAGTTATTTTATTTTATCATGTCCCTGTCCAGCCACCAGCTAGAAACAAGCCTATATTCTAAATAATTATAGATTTGAGTTGTTGGTTTTTGATATTCATGCGTGGTGAACTTGTTATATGGGAAGCAGAACTACATAAATAATGCTTGTTTAGGTGGATCTTCATGTTTTGTTTAGACATGAGTATTGTTTTCTTATAGTTAATTTAAAACAATATTAATAAAACTATTGTTAATCAAATAATTTGTAAAAATCCTTTTTAATTACCTATATTTTGTTTCAGATTAGTGCATTTAAAGGAATTGGTGGAAATGAAGCAATTTGCCAGCTTTGGGTCTGTGCCAGTAAAAATAGCATCCAAGTTATTCAACGTTTCCAGAATAAAGTATTAAGGAACATCGTCGATGTATCCTGGTACTGCCGTAATACTATCTTCATAGGGACCTTAAAGTGGGGACTGTTGAAAATACAATACAAAAATTTGCCAGTAGTGTACAACAACGACTGCTCCAACATGGAAACCTTGAGATTATCCAGCTCCTCAACAATGCCAATCTAAGAAGACTCAAGAGAACCAGGCCAGTTCAGTGATGTTAGAATAAAATATAGTATATAGTAGTATAGTGCGGTTAAGTGTTATACGTTAACGGTAATGTAACTAAATAATTAGACTCTAAAGTACACTATATAGTGAAGTTTTTCATCCCAAGATAAGTTAGGTAAAAATAAAATTGCTACTTGATCTTAATGATTAGATTATAATAATCGTAAATGTTTCTTTACTTGGAGTATTTATTAAAAAAAACCTTTGTTTCAAATTAGTGCATTTAAAGGAATTGGTGGAAATGAAGCAATTCGCTTCTATATTTTATGAAATATTGTTTAACATATTTATTTATTTGTTTGTTTAAGAATCAATGTTTGAGTTTTGTGTATTTTAAATAAACATGTATATTTTTAAATGTCTTTTTAGTCTAATAATATATTAGAAAAAAAACTAGAATACATTTCTGAAATATTACTATTTTAAGATTTCAAATTTTCATTTCAGAAATATTACTGTGAAATATTATATTTACAGGACATTTTTACGTTTCGGGCATATTTCATAAATGTTTCTGGGATGTTCCGTAATATTTATGCATTGCAAATGTTTCAATGTAACATTGTTAAAATATTTCTGAAATGTGTTTGTACTGTATGGGGTGTTGCCAACCTCTGAAAAGTCACTCTTTCGTCAAACCACCCTCGTATAGTGGTACAGAGATATTATGCATGCTATTTAAATATATGATAATAAAAAAATATCTAAGTCACCTTAATTTTCGTTAGTACCGTCAATTCATAATGATGTTATTTGCCTACTTAATCCAAATGTGTATTTACCCCCCACGGGTCTTTAGTTAATACGTGCCGTTATCTTGTGTATATTTCAATTATTACCAAAATAGTATTGCAAACACATACTGCATTTTGAACAATATGTTTTTTGGTTAGTTTATACGCATTTTACTTCTACGAAGGAATACGTTTTAGTTATGATATATCTAGGTAATAAAAAGTTTGATTATTTAAGATTAAAATTACAAAATATGTGCTCCTATTATACAGGGTGTTCCAATATTTCTAATATTTTAACAGAGTATTCTCCAATCATTTAAAGGGGGGTTTCAATTTGGGTAGTCTCTATCGAGATATTTAGTGCTCAATAGGCCGAAAAAAATTAGTTTTACTGTGCAATATTTTCGTATATTCAACAATTTACCTTAAAAAAAATTAAAATACTTGATGATGTAGTTTTAACACAAGAGTATCCGTTTAAAAAAGACCCAAATTGCAAAATTTTAATAGAAACCCCCTCTTAAATGGTTTATAGCACCCTATAAAAATATTTGGAACATAATTACGCAACATCCTGTATATAATTTAACTAGGTAATCTAAATACACAGTGGACCTACGATTTGTGGTATCCTACGCCCACCGCTTATCAATTTTGGGGCGCCCACTTTTTTTTGTATATTTCTTTTTCACCTATTTTGAATTGTACCTTGTACTGTTTTCAATTGTCATTGGTTGCTTTGTATTTTTCGTTTTATAACCTTTCTATAGTTCGGTACCCGACACAATACTCAATAAAAATCAGCTTTCAGTACGTCAGTACGTCGACCGGGTAGAGTTACCCCGAGGTCAGAACCCAGATAAAATGAAAAGTGGTAGAAATTAACTTTGAAAAATTATTGTTAATAATAAGTGATCCACAAAAAAATGTTTTTAAAGTTGGTCTTGGAAAAATTCCAGTTATTAAGGGTCATTTTGGATTTAACTCAGAGTCGTGTGTAGTTATTACGGATATGACTCGTATCTCTGTCATTGTCAGTCATGACCTACTTAGAAACACATTTTGTGGATCACTCTTTATTATATTTTGATACAATTATTTATCACAGGCCCTTAAATAATTGTTTACGATCGAAGACCAATTAAAATTACAGAAGAAGAATACATAATTGGAACAAATGAGAAAATTAAACAAGGGCTAAAAGACGACATAATAAAAATAAAGCAATCCAGAGTTAAATGGTTAGGACACGTTTAGAAAGTAGGAATTGAAACATTTAATGTTAAAATGGGAGCCAGACAGGAGAAGGAAGCATGGTTGTCCAGATCAGGATGGTTCAAAGAAGGAAAAGAAGATATACGCACTGCAGCAGTGAATGATTGGCAAGAAAAAGTATAGAGTAGAGGAAAATGGAGGTGAAGAGTTAATGAAATTACTAAGGAATGAGTTTAGAGATTTTGACAAATCTATTTTATTAAAAAATAATTATCCACACTAGGAGTGTTATTGGTAAAATATACATACATAATCGAAGGTTTTTTAAACAATTAGTGAAAAGAAAATAATAATTTGTAGTTTTATCTAAAATTGGAATAGTATAAAAATACCTGTAAGGCCTTTCTCCAGAATGTGTGCGCATGTGCGTGGTAACGGACGAACTCTGCGAAAACCTCCTGTCGCAGACCGGACATCGAAACGGTTTTTCCCCGCTGTGCGTCCGCACGTGCGCAGTCAGGTTCGCAGCTTGAGAAAACGATTTATTGCAGTCGATGCACCTGTAGGGCTTTTCGCCGCTGTGGGTACGCAGGTGGGTCTTGAGGGTGCTAGGCCGTGCGTAACTTTTACCTGAAAAGTATACATTAATTCATTTTTACATAGAAATATATAAATGGAAATATGCACAAAAACAATAACACAGCGTAAGTTTATTCATAATTTCGGTCTACATGTTCATCTTTAGGCCTACAAAAAAAATAATAATGGTGAAAATAGTTACTGATCAGTTTCGATTCTATTGGATTTTAAAATGCGTTATTTCTCTTGTAACTTGTTAAATTTCTTCGTTAAACCTGAAGAGCAAACCGGACCTCTCGTGAAAGCATACATGTCTTAAGGATTTTCTAATATAAAATTGTATTTATATGCGCGCCATTGGAAATACTTCGCGATATTATGTGCCTCGAGAATATTGAGAGCTTTAAATTTGTGCAACCATAAGATAGCACTCTATAGAGATGTTTAAGACGAAAAAGGTGGGAAATCATCCCATTTAAAAACTACTAGATATTTATTAACACAAAAAGCATTCTAACTTAAACACTAGAAAAGAAAACTGGCCCTCTAGGAAATTACTATAGAAAAAGCCGCGAAACACTTGTTACATGTATATGTGGCATTGTCAGATTGAGAACTCTTTCTGATTTTCAATTCTGGCGCGATATTTACCCTCTCTACTATTCATTGATGAACATAGGTTCCTTGAAAATACAAATACCTCGCGCCAAAACTGAACATAATGATAGAAAATGAGAAAATTAAAATCTAAAAATATTTAAATTAATCAAGGAAATAAAATAATACTCTTTAACTAGCTAATAATGATTTATTGTTTTAGCCAAGACCCCGAAGGGAAGTTAGGTATTTAACCCGTTGCAATTTGGTGATCAGCATAGGTAACTCGGCGGCTTTAGTTACAGTTGGGAATATATTGCAACAAATATGTGGAAAATGTATCTAGACAATTTTAAACTTTTGATGGAAATTTATGAGAGACCCTTATATTCTCTATATACAGGGTGTTCCATCTCAGTTGAGCCACCCCGTATAATTCTTATCCCATAGTAATTGGAAAAATTTTCCGAAACACGTCGGATGATTTTCTTTGGGGGACATCTTTTGACGTATATTTAAGGCTTAAACGAGCAACCCCCTATGAGGGGGCGCTTCAACCCCTCAAAATTGAATAGGGAAGAGAGGTTGAGTGATACTTCATTTGTAAGGTCTTGGAAGCCTCTTTACAACGGTGTATGAAAAAAATCACATTATTAAAAAAAATTAATTGTTTTATCATGCTTACAATCAAAAAAATCAAAACTGCGTTTTTAAATCAAATGTTCAAATAGTCCTCCATTGACTTCCATAGAATAATAGAATCTTGACTGAAAACCGTCTCTAACATGGTCCACCATAATTGGAGTTATTTGACGACACTCATTTACAATTCGTTGGCGTAGTTTGTCGAAATTTTTAGGCTGATTCAGGAGAGCGAGCTGGCCACTCCATAGGACCTCTTCTTCCAATCCAACGACCAGTGTATTGTAAATTGAAGTATTGGCGAACTGATGCGGCGTAGTGAAGAGGAGCTCCGTCTTGTTGGAAATGCAACGGTTGTTCAATTAGTAGAGGATAGTTTTCTAATGTTTCTGTTATTAACGGATGAATCGCATTTTCCAGCATTTTAAGATAAATTTTGCCATTTAAATTACCAGGAATAAACAGAGGTCCAATTATAAACAGAGGTCCAATTAGGTGGTCTCCCAAAATTCCTACCTTAACTTTTAGCTTTTCCGGATATTGAGTGTGTTCAATTAGTAGAGGATAGTTTTCTAATGTTTCTGTTATTAACGTATCAATCGCATTTTCCAGCATTTCAAGATAAATTTTGCCATTTAAATTACCAGGAATAAACAGAGGTCCAATTATAAACAGAGGTCCAATTAGGTGGTCTCCCAAAATTCCTACCTTAACTTTTAGCTTTTCCGGATATTGAGTGTGAGCTTCTCGAAATACATGAGGATATGTATTGCTCCAAATTCTACAGTTATGCCGGTTAACCTCTTCATTAACTGAAAAAGTGCATTCGTCAGAAAAGCAAACGTTGTACAAGAAATTTGGGTTATTGTTGATACGCTCGGCCATAATTTCGCAAAACTCTTACCTTCGATCCAAATCATCATTTAATTCATGAATTAGTTTAATTTTGTACGGATGGAACTTGTGTTTATGTAAAATTCTGAAAACGTTAGATTGGCCAATACCGGAAACTGCAGAAAGTTGTCGGACAGATTGCGTGTTTGGAATAAGTTGGACATGGCCCAATACCGCCACAGCTGCTCCTTCATCATTCACAATTCCAATGGGTGCCCTTTTTTTATCCATTACTGAACCCGTCTCAACAAATTTTGAAATTAATTCCATTACGTATTTATGGCGAACGCTACGTTCAGGATGGTTTCGGTTAAATATCCTTGCAGCAGCTTGGGCACCATTTTGATTTTGGTAATACAGGCTCCAGCTCAACACGTTCTTGCAATGTGTACACCATAATTTATTTTTAAAATTGTAAGCAAATCAGCAAAGTAGTAACTCAACAGATTGATTTTTAATACATGAAATGATCGAACAAACGAGATAAACACCTTCTAAGAAAAAAAATGAAGCCAAGATAAGAAAATGTTTTGATTTTTTTTTATTTATTAGTTCGAGAAAATATATTATTGTATGGAAGTCAATAGAGGACAATTTGAACATTTGATTTAAAAACGCAGTTTTGATTTTTTTGATTGTAAGAATGATAAAACAATTAATTTATTTTAAGAATGTGATTTTTTTCATACACCGTTGTAAAGAGGCTTTTAAGACCTTACAAATGAAGTATCACTCAACCCCTCTTCCCTATTCAATTTTGAGGAGTTGAAGCGCCCCCTCATAGAAGGTTGCTCGTTCAAGCCTCAAATATACGTCAAAAGGTGTCCCCCAAAGAAAATCATCCGACGTGTTTCGGGAAATTTTTCCAATTACTATGGGATAACAAATATACTTGTGGCTCGTCTGAGATGGAACACCCTGTATGTCCATTATGGATATCTACATTAATGGTTATTTCAACCAAAGCTATGTTGTATTGAAGTTGTATAAATGTGTGTGCTACATAATGTATGTATGTATGTGTATGTTTTAGATGTATAAGGAGCTAAAACAAGTATTATTTGTTACGTTAAAAAGTGCTGACTTAGTTGAGGAACAGCGGTTTTAGTCTAAAATCAGATGACCAAGGGATTGTCCTACTCATGAATTTGGATTCTAAAATTTACTATATTAAATTTTTATTTAAGTAACCATTTTTAATGGTATTTTCACCATTTTTCTGTCAATTGTGTTATTTGTATTATATGCCTGAAAATGACCATGTAGGTCGAAACTAGTCGCGAGATTTTATGAATAAACATATTCTGTGGTATTGTTTTGTGCTTCCTTTCCATTTCATTACTGAGCACCTTTGAGACAATGGATACTTTTTCATTCTATAGAAATATAAGACAAAAAGTTATGTAGATGTCACTGCACACAAGAATTTCAATGTAGCCCATCTTGTAGAAAATGCATTTTTAAGCAGATTTTGTTGTATGTACTAATTCGATAAATCTGGCAATTTTCGATATATTTAAGTCCAAACATTGATTTTCCAAACAATTATTTCGTACTAACCCATATTTTTGTACTTTATTGGAAACAATACTGCTTTTTCGGTACCAAATTTTTGTTTGAACATTTGAAAGAGAATAAATAGTAGTTTGTGCAAGAAGAATGGATGTGATGGCCATATCGCACGAAGACAAAGGTTGAGTGCGAGGGCGATATGGACAACGGATCGGAATTTTCTATCCTTTTTACGTAGAAACAATAATAATGATTATTTTAACAAGAAAATATTGATTTATCCAATTATTTAAGCATTTGGAAGAAAATTGCGATTGAAAAACCATTTTGATGAAATTTCCCGCCCTTCATTCACCCTATGTAGTAAAGTTTAAAATAAAGTAATAAAAAAATTTGACTATTATAGTCCATTCACTCGAATTGTACAGTATATATTTATTCTACGACCCACTAACAAATTTAAAAAAAATATTTTAAGTTATTAAGACAAAATAACTAATTTTAAAATAATGTATGACTTACTAATTAATAAAATAAAATAAACATGAAAAAAAAATATTTAATTTAGTTAGTCCCTAACCTAGATTTGAACCCGGGCCTCTCGCGTGGAAGACATTTAGGATTTTAGTTTTATTACTCGTAAATAAATTAGCTTCATATAATTTTATTAAAATTAACGAATTATTTATAATTATAGACCAAATAAAAATATCGATTCCACACAAAAATAACTCATTGTAATGTATATTTAATTTTAATAACTAAAAAATATACTGACAAATAGTTTAACAGAATTGTCACTTATGTAAAATTTTAAAAATATTAGTAATCGGGTAACCAAAATATGAACTGTGATTGGTGGATTTATTTTTTTTACAGTGTTCTCACTGCCTAGAATGGATATGAAATATATTCGTTCAGTTGAATACAATAGCATACTTTTTAGTTTTGTGCGTACATAAGATAATATCCATGTGGGTGCAGAAAAAAACATTTTACATGACTGACCTGGGAGATTTTACTGGTACACCCTATATGGCTACGTGAACAGGCTACAAAACATATTTTTGCCAAATATCTCAATAACCGTCAATTGTACTTAGGTATACAGGGTGTTTTGAAATGGGTATACATATAAAAACGAATAGTAGTATGATGTTCAAAAATGAACGTCAATAATTTTTTACGACTATATTTCTAAGCCTCATAGTCATGGTGGCTAAAAATGAATAAAAACAGCATAGGAATTTAACCGATAAGATTTTGCATAAAGATTTGTTCCAAGAATACTGTCCTATGAACGGCCACAATCCTATTTGAACTAATTCAATGGGCAGGCGCTGATTTAGTAGGTAGGAACGCTTATTGAACTATTAGTTCAATAAGTACCTTCTGTTTTTCATGATCATTGACTGTTTAGTGTTATTCTTTTTTGTAACCTTACTTTAGTTAATCATCCGCCACAATATTTAACAAAACTCAGCTGGCAGTAGGTATTACCAGCTGATGAATGCTATATGCACATGACAGTCCAAGCGGTTCCCTAAAAAAGGGTATAAGTATAGGTATGTTCTAAATTAGTACTGGACTGCTAACAGTCACTCCAGACCTTAGCAGAACATAATAAGGTCAATCTTAAATGAATAGGAGTATTGGAAAACGACTAAGTAGCTAAAAAGGGAGCTGAGAAAACTAATTGGACTAGAACACACATGTGGTATTTCAAATCAACATGTTAATGGGATGCTAACAGGGCCGCCGAGAGCCAGATCGGGCCACAGGACAATTCTCCAGATCGGGCCCAAAAATTTCTCCGCCTCTCCTTGAATTTCTCTAAAAAAAAGGTCCTCAACTAAGAACTTCCCCTCTCTTCTGTCGAACTTCTCAAAGTAACAAACACCACCACTGCCTGGTCCCCCTTATACCGCTGCCGGGCCCCTATTTGAGCCCGGGCCCCGGAAATTAGTCCCGGCTGCCCCCCCTCTAGTCGGCCCTGGGTGCTAATGGAACAGGTAAATAGAGAACACATTTTGCATAAATTCAGTAGATTTGTTTCAATAATACCGTCCTCTGAACGACCACAAACTTATTTGAACTCTGGTTGGAATTTTCTGGACTCGGGCACACCGTTAAATATTCCTCTAGACTCAGCGACATCGTTGTTTTCGATTTCAGTCCAAAGATTTCAGCAGTGACTTCATCATTGGTTTTTGAACCAGTTCAAGTTCAACTTGTATGGGAGGGCTCTGTTTCCAGGATTATTAGGCTAGTATTTGTATTTGAATTTTTTTTTTTTCATATTTGTGTGGTTATATCATAAGGCATTCCTAGAATCATATACTTTTTACTCGCTTGTATATCCTTATGTGGTTAAAGCTATGTAGTTGGCTTACTTGGCTTTGAAAAACACACTGTACCTTTGATAACATATTCTAACCAATATAAAAAAAAAGATAGGAGATAAAGAGAAGAAAGAAGAGAAAATTAAATTTAAGTTTTTATTTATTTCAGGGTATTTATAAACAATTTAGAGTTAGATTTGTTTTTGGTTGAATATTATTAAAAGATTTTCATATATAATAATATATATAATAATAGTTCTTTATTTTAGGAGTATGTTACAGATACATAAAACGAAAGAGAGTCAAACAATATTGTTTTAGGTCATCAAAAACTCTAATGGTTCCCTGTTAACTAAATATATAAATAACACTTTCTTGATTTCTGTCAATTCATTAATTGTTTTGATATATCTGGGGAGACTGTTGAATATTTTGATACAGTTATAGTAGGCTCCACGTTCTGTCATTGTTAACTTGTGGTGTGGATAGACAGTCTTGGTTTCTAATGGGATACACCGACTGCGATTTACTAGTGTCGAAAAGATCAATACACAGTCCAACTTACCGCATATCCTACACACATTGGGCTTCTGACTATCCTCTTCAACGAAACTAATACTATGTCTTCTTCTTGGCGAAGAAAAACTCATTGGCAGGGGTTTGTACGATGACGTGGTAACTGGCACCTCTTGGGGAGGTCGGAAATCCGCCGTGAAGGAGTACGTCGTCCCTCCGTAGGAAGGACTCAATAATCCTTGGCTTTGGTAACTTTGGTTTGTTCCTTGTGGCGTCGAACTCCATTGTAACTAAATAACAAAATACATATTAGAAGATATAAAATTACATTAAGAATTGGACATAAAATAATTATAGATACTCTGAATAAAAATAGGACGCTTAAACGAAACATGCTTAGATAAAATATTTCTGGTTTCCGACATAGAGGGTGTTAAAGTTGAAAATTCAAAATTATTAATGGCTATATTTTTTTTATTTCTCAGTATAATTTTACTAAATTCGGTAAACATTGTTGGTGTCATAAGATACACCTATCAGTAAAACAATAAGTAGGGCACGGATAAGTAATACTTTTATCCCCTTTAAATTTTACTGCTGTACACACATTTATTTGGACTATACTTTTACATTTTTATGTTTTATAAATAAAACATGTACTTTTGTTTGGAATTTATAAATTGACTGGTTTTCGAGATATTCATACTCAAAAGTGGATATTTTTTATTTCAATTTATTTTTTAATTTTGTAATTTTTTTATAAAATTGCACTGGACAAAGTTTTTGGAGTCGTATAAGATACACTAATTAAAAAAAAATCAGTTAAAAAACTTGACCAGTGGCGTACGTGGCGTACGGCATGGGAAAGTAACACCTTAATTCCTTCTATTTCATTGTATGTCACTCTCAAAAAAAAAAATCCAAAATTACAAAATTAAATAATACATTAAAATGATAAATATCCACCTTTGAGTGTGAATATTTCGAAAACAAATCACGTTATGAAATTATTTACATATCTTAGAAAAGCTAAAATAATTCAACACATTTTATTGCAACTGAACTCAAAACATTTTTAATCATTAGTTATATCAAATTTAACTGAATTAGATATAATAATTTTCAATAAATTGCAAAACCTAGTTAATGTTAAGTTGGATGTGGCAACAGGGCTTATACCGGCATGGATTGCTTCGTTGTTTGTGCTTACGCCTGGCTTACACATTTATTTATTAATAAAAAAAATGGATAGCCGTATGGACTTGGCATCATGAATATTATATTTTATCAATGAATAGCTACATCTTCTGTTATCTCTGGTAAAAGCCGACAAAATAGATTGGCCCTGTTAAGAAAATTCATGCACCGTCAGCGGGAATAAAAAATCGATGTATTGAATCCGTATAATTGAAAAAGGAAACTTGAGACTTTAATTGTGAGAATTAAAATACATTCAGTCTAATCTAAATAATCTAATTGGAATGGCATTACCCGAATAGCGAGGTAGGGTAGCAAGAGAAATAACAATTATAATTGTTTACTTAACACTTATGTTTTAGGTAGATTATTTTTAAAAGAAACATTTTGAAGTTATTGCCTCAAATGTTTTATCGAAAATCCCTATGATTTCCCCCAAAATAATTTGCCAAAAATCTTCCTAGAACTAGGTATAATTCCCTAGATCTGGCATGACTGCTGCTATAACGTTATATTATGGGAGGTTGAGCGTAGAATAATGGTCGGAAAAAAGGGTAAATCTTTAAATTTTAGAATGTAATGCTAAAATTAGTATTATTCGTTTTTTGGACATCAAACACTCTTGTTATTTTTAATGTGCATCTATATGTAATTCAATAACACCCTGTATAAATTATACTTGTTTCATTAAAAGTATGAAGAAAACTCTAAATGAATACCACATATTTATTAAATTTTAATGCTGCAACTAGTTTCGACCAACGACCATCATCGTGCCTATAATACCATAATAAACTTACCTTCTGACAAGTAACCTATATGAAGATAACAATATTATTATACAATATAAAAGTGAAGTTGTTTTAACAACAAATAACACAATTCACCACTGGAAAGACAAAGAGACGTAACTCCATTGTAGCTATTTTACAGGAGACGCAATTAAACTTTTGGTGTATAGTGCTTTGCTTGTGCATCAGTCCACAAGGAGGAGAGATACGCCCCTTTGTGACATCATAGATATCCACTTTATCAGATTTCTGGTGCTCATAAGTCAAATTGGACATTTTTCGACTTACGTCCCTTTTCCTTTTCAGCGACGAATTATTGGTACCGCAGTTTATCATATATTGATATAATAATATATGTAAAAAGTAAAATTACAAATAACAAAGTTTTCCGAAACTAGCTGCAGCTTTAAAATCTAATAAACTATTTTATGTGGTATTGATTTAGAGTTTTCTTTATTCATTACTTTGGCGACGAGAATACTTTTTAAAGAGCTTACCTGCGGACAGGCAATCTCCGCAGAAGGATATCCGCAGCTGTTATTAGGATGGTAACCGTGCATGGTCATATTCATAGAAACGTTAACGGACATGCTCGGAAACATGGGAGTCGGTTGGCTGAACGCCTGCTCGCAGATCCCCCCTGAGTATCCATTCGGTGAGAGGAGCATCTGGGGATGATAGACGTGTTGTGCTTCATATTTATCGTTGGGGCTCTGTCCGGGATGGACCACGGCGTGCTTGAGCGAAAGCAGGACGTCGGCGACATCGGGACCCGATTGCTTTTGATCTCGAAATACTAACGGCGATTGATTTTGGATCGACGACTCGATTCTGAAACAGTTCTAGAAGTAAAACGGTCGGTTTTTGAAAGAAATACGGCAATCATATATTTATTATTTTCTTAAAATCTATTTATGTTACTGATACACTGTCGTCCTAAAAACAAATGCCGTACCTACTGAGAGCGATAAGCGAAGAATATGGGATCTTAAGTTATTTCCTTAGCCCTTAAGTACTCAGAGCAGGCTAATTATTATGTTAGATTTTTAATATCTTGAAAATATATGCAGCATTTCTGCTTGGTAAAAAATGAATTTAACTTTCCACGAACCCATTGAAGCAAAAATAATAAAATTCATTTTTTTGTAGATACGCCATCTATTTTCAATTTTTAGGACGGCAGTATAGTAGACACGGAATTCGGCTATAAGATTACAACGAATAAAAGTAAATCTAATTCGGTAACATTATTTGAAAGTACCCAACCAGCTCTAAAATCATCTTCAAACGCCGTTTAAATTCCTTGTTGGAAATTACTTAAATTGTATAAACAAACCAGTTGTAAGCACTCCATTATTTGTTCGTATTTAAACACTTACGAGTTTCAAAACAAAAGCCGGGCCTGTCGAGTTTCTAAATAGTCTGCGCCATAATTTCAACGAACATTAGAATCCAGCGTAGTATAGGTACAAACTAGTGATGCCGCGAGACGAGACGAGAGAGAGGCCTCTCTCATCTCGTCTCGTGGGGCGAGAGAATACTTCTCTCGTCTCGACGAGAAGGCGCTTCTCTCGCTCGAGAAAGCCATTCGCTCGTCTTGTCTCGTCTCGTTTCTCTCGTGATAAAAATATCAAATTTAAATTTGGAAAAGATATAATTATACTCTGTTTTTTAACTAGGAGGAGCGATTTGAATTTAAGTTGGCAATTCTGTAGACTTCTGATTGGTCAGATTGCAGTCAGTTTCACACATCACTTTTTAGCATTAACATCGCATCTAATGCAATTACTGACAATTATTGACAGTTCAAATTTTTAGTTTTGTTATTGTTTTTACCCCTTTGATATCTCATCATTATTACTTAGTTTTTTACATTTGTTTCGTTAATAACAGTCCTGTTCAGAACTTCAGTAAGCAATTGTTCTGAATTTCTACGATTATGGGTCCTTCTATACCGGTAGCAGTTCCTGAAAAGCCCTACAAGAAAGGGAAGACGCCTTATTATTTTATATGCTGGTTTCTAAGAAGGTTTTGTAGATGCATTATTTATTTTTGAAGGCAAATATTACCATGAAGAGATGGATTCCGAAGTATTTTAGAAAGAAAAAAACTAACAATTTTATTACTGATTTTTTAAAACTAAAAATTAATAAATTTCTTACCAAAATGATTAAAATGTAACTAAACATTCAAGTAAACTTTATTTACAAAACTGAGATTTAGCATTTAAAACACCACCATCTACAACTACATTAGAGAATCTTAATTTAGCATAATGAGCTAACAATATTTCTACAACAAATAATCAAACAACAAAAATATCTAATTAAAATTAATACATAGGGTAAGTATAACTTTAAATTAAAAAATATAAAAATTACAACTAGAGTTTAAAGGAACTACAATATTATTAAACAGTTTTTGATATAATATTGACATGTAATGTTATGAAAATGATGGTTCCAGTTTTCAAAATAAATCCTGACTCACAATAGCCTGTAAGCTTTTAAATGCCTTCATTTACTCTTTAGCGTATCAACTCTGGGTTAACACTAAATAAGCTACAATAGCTATATTACTCATAGGAGAAATTCCAGTCACTGTGTTGGCATTTACTGAGAGTAAAGAGTATAATATGGTGAAGGGGTCCAAGCTAATAATTAACTTTTACTTCAGTTTATACATACAACAAATATATCCTTGAAAATGTAAACAGACCATATTTTTATATTTTATACTAACCTGCATCAGGATATTCCGTTAAAAATTTTCTTAAATATTCAATTTCCATTTTAAAAAGATCATTGTTATTCTCAAAAAGAAATCAAGGGTCATATTGAATTTCATTTGACAGTTCGTTTTAGATACACATTTCAGATCACAGTAATGTGACATTTACTACCGTTGTTTGGGACCAATAAAAAATCGCCTCCTATGAGATTTATTCGCTCTTAATTCCTCATTGGCCGTTCGCCGACTAGGGCCGATAATAAAAACTATTTCATAAATTTTGAACTCTACTATATTTCGGAACACGCTCTTAGTAACAAATCTAGTTACTTTTCCCTGTGTAAATGGGTCGTTTAAATTCGCTCCTCCTAGTTTAAAAACAAAGTATAGGACGAAACATGAAAAAACTTTTGAAGACAATAACAAATAATTTTTCAAGTAATTTTTATCATCAGTACCCAAATTGGCAATAAGAAACACTTAGGGAAATTACCTTGGTATCTCTCTGCCTGTCTGTCTGTCACAATCGTTTTACTTAGACACTATTTGACATAAACAATTGAAACTTAAAGTAATTAGTGGCCCAAATTGGGCGTTAACTAAGAATGTATAGCAGAGGCAGAAGTTGGAAAGGCTTTTGGTAGGTAGAGAGGGGGTAAACGTCAAACCACGTCGGATGACTTCGAGAATTTTGCAGTAATGTTTACCTGCCAGTGACGTTTCAAAGAATATGAACTGGACAATCGCATGTATTTATGGACTATAAATAATTATTAAACATGTATTATAATACCCAAATCATAATTCTACAAAATTTCAACAGCTATTCACAATTTATTAAACTATTTACTCGAAATTGTTATTAACATCTAAAAAATAATTTTGTACGCCAATGTATCGCGTCTACTTCGGTTAGATCCGGCGCAAACCTGTCAAGTTAAGTGTATGAAGTGGGAGAACTAGTAACATTCTTTCCAACTTCTGCCCCTGCTATAAATACTTTGTCTTAGAAGTCAGTTGGGAGGGGGTAGGGTTTCATTTGAAAAATAGAATTTTTTTCGTGTGTTATCAAATGAAAGCATTTTGAAGCATATTAACAATATATTATACGTTCGTTTCTTTTACCTTTTCTTTGACAGTTTTTCGAAAAAACACTTAAAAATTGTTGTCTTTCTAATTTTTCTCCAAAAGTAACCTCAGAAAAATTTGACATTTGTCGGGGCGCTTTTGTCGGAGCGCTTTTTTCGGGGCGCATTTGACGGGTCACCATAAATAAAAATCGGTCAAGCCGTATCCTAGATAATTGAGGCGTTCCATACTTAAAACTCAGTGGGTATATAGAATAGGTGTTTTAGAGTTAACTTTTTGACTATCTGGAAATCTGATATTTTTAAATTTTAAGTTACGATAACTAATTGAAAATTTTAAAGAAGTAAAAAGATAATTGCGCGAGAGAACTCGAGAGAGTTCGAGAGAAACGAGAAATTCTCGTCGAGAGATGACACTTTCTCGTCTCGTTTCGTACGAAACGAGAAAAGACGAGACTAGAGACGAGGAAGATTGTTCGAGAAGTCGTTAGAGAGATGTCAGAACCGAAAACCTACTGATTGACCGAAACAATAATTGAAGACACAGTTAAAAACGCAGTTAGACAAAACTCTAGTTCAAAAATGAGATTCCAACAATGAATAAAACTTTATTAGATGTAGAAGCTACACTAGGGTTGCTACCTTTTTGAAAAGTGAATAAAGGACATTTACAAGAAACCTTAGAAAAACCGGCTTTATGAATGCGAGTAGGGAAATCGCGCAAGGTACCACCGTAAACCTCTTAAAATACACTACAGGCAGTTTTTTTACTTTATAATAACTTATTATTGAACAATAATATCTTAATTAGGTAGTTACATCATAATTGAATAAAAAAACAACATAAACATAAATTAAAAACAAAAATTAAAAACTAAAAAAATATTTTAAGGTGTGGTTCCGCTTGTATGCAGAAGACGCACAAACCGAACTATACCTCTAGGGATTACTGAATTTAAATAGCTATTTGTGTATCAAGAGCGAAAAGTGATAATTTTCCGGTTGAAACAGAAACAGAATATGTCGAAAGCGGCAACCAACTTTTCGCTCAAAATGCACATAAGATTTTTTCTGCGATCACATTATTTTAAGAAATAGATATACAAACTGAAAATTTGTCATATGTAGTGCATAATATGTATCACTTAATGTCAATTCGCGGAAAACGTCAACTTTGCGGTCGTTATTTCGAAGCGCAAAAGCCTACTTTGGATAGTGATCGTAGAAAAATATTATTTTATGTTTAATTTTGCAGCCTCCAAAGCAGCCTTGTTTTTTTTATGAAGTTGTACAATTCTTGACAATTTTTTAAAAATTAAAATATATTAATAAGTTTTGAGTGAATTAGTCTGTTTGGTAGCCATCACAGAAAACATTCACTCAGAAAATGCTGAACTAGCAGAAACACTTAATAAATATGAAATTAAGGGAAACACATTTGGAGTATTTTTAAATTTGGTTTTAATTTTCAATCTCTAAGAGTCTGAATTCTGCATCATCTCAAATAATAACAATAGAACCAAAATAGTTTAGATATTATAATCTTTAAACGTTGGTTTTAGATGCAGAAATTTGTTTGGAAAATTGAAAAGAAATAACTTTTTTCGACAGCTGCCACATGTAAAATAACAACGTGCGTTCGCAAAAACATTACTGGGACTGGGTTTCATTTGTGGGAAAGTGCGGGCCAAGGCGGTGCTGCTGCGAATAAATTAATAATGAAAAATATTGAAATATAGTTTTAAAAAAGAACATTTTCAGGTTTAAAAAGTCACAAGAACAATTTATTTGAAAAAAGGACTGTCCTTTTCAAATAAGGGCAGGTAGCAACCCTAAGCTACACCAACACTATCCAATATGACATATTTTATTTTACGAAATGTGATCCACGAATAAACTTTCGTTATAAAATAAGAGAGACAGAATAGTAAAATATGACAAATATAATATTTAGATGAAATATTCAAGAAATGAGAAAATAGATGTCGGTAAATTTTACGCCTAATATATTTTTAGGTAATTAAAGGTTTCCAAAATATTGCCTCACCCGTTATAGTAGGTACCGCAAAGTAATATGATCAATATTTTTTTAATTTGCGAATAAAAATTAAACTTACTTATAATTTCCATTGGTTCCATTACTGCATGGCGAGATATTGAATAAACTCGGCAAGGGTTCTAAATCCAATGGTAACGAAAATGAACCCATCTCCTCGTTCCAACAAGACGACAGATCGTCTGTGCAGTTTGAAACCTATATATTGAAAAACACCAGGTAAGTAATATTATATTATATTGGCAGTACGAAAAGTGTGAAAAACCATTTTTACACAAGTGATGTACAATATTTGCTCCTACCATTAAATAATTTTATCAATAAATGTAAAACCAGAAAATAATAGCCCCTTATCCAACTACAATTTCACCGTCATAAATGTCAACTATTTGTTGCTTTTATTGATTTTAAGAAAGCATTCAATTTAGTGAATAATAATCTTCTGTGACAAAAATTGTATAACTTAGGTGTCAGTGCATTCTTTATAATAAAACGTTTATACAATTCTGCTTCGTTTAGAGTAAAAGTAAACGATGATCTCTTTAAATTATTTACTAGGTATATCCAATAAGAATTTATAATAGATGTTACCGTCGAAAATAATTTTGATTTTCTTTAATTTGGATATAATTGTAATAAAAAACAAAAATCACTGGAATATAATCGTTTTAGGTGCCCAATATTTGTAACTTTATGCTCACTGAAAACTGATCTGATTTTCTCTATAATATAAATATTCTGATCATTAGATAATTAGCAATCTAACAAAGGTGAATACAGTACCCCTTATAATTTTCGGATAAGGATATTTCAAAAAGAAAATTTGTTAAAAAATTTAAATTTTGGCAAAATAAATTAGCTAGATAGATATGCATATATTTTAATGTTTTAAATCCTTCCACTTTCCAAGAAAAGGGCTTTAAATTTTGAAATATCATATTGAAAATAAATGGATTCCTCAACAGCGCTTTTCTTAATATAATCCCAAAATTTGAGCTATTAATCTCTTGTTAATGATTTTTTAAAATTCGCCGAAATTAGTAGCTAAAACTCCTCGTTAAGTGCTGCTTTCTGGTGTAACGCGCAATAAACTATCACTGACTTTTAGTCATCATTCGTTTCTTGCAACGATTTACACAAGTTTACACCAGAAGATAGAACTTAACGAAGCGTTTTAGCCACTAAATTTGGCGAATTTTAAAAAATCATTAACAAGACATTAAGAGTTAAAATTTGGGGATTATTTTAAGAATAGTGTTGTGGATTTATTTTCATTATGATATTTTGACATTTAAAGCCCTTTAATTTTTTTCTTTTTGGAAACTGGAAGAAAATATAACTTTAAAATATATGCATATTCTAAATATTATTGTCTAATTTATTTTGCGAAATTTTAATTTTTTAGAACAAATAAGGGGCGCTGTAATTACCTTAAGCCAAACAAAGATGTTTGTTTCTTATGTTATGGAAATTTTATAATTACGTGCTTTCATTTTGAACGAATAATACACGTCTCCACTAAGTAGTTTTTTTAAGTATCCCCCTTTAACAAAAATGCACACTTTTTGTATCAACTTGTACTATTACTTAAGAATATTGTACTCTCGTTATGAATTTGTATAATTCTGAAAACAATAAATACAGGGTGTCCCAATGAAAACTAGCCCATTTCCAAAGCTTATAACTTTTAAACAAAACGTGGGGTTTTGCTGATATGTGTTATTTTGCTATAAGTTTTGCTTCAGTGACACAAAAATTATGTATTACCTATATATACAGGGTGTTTTTTAAAAATCTCATCTTTTAAATTCATTATAACCAAATTTTATAAAATGAAAATGGGCTAGTTTTCATTGTGACACCCTGTATACTAAATTTAAAATAATTTTTTACTAAATATCATTCATGTGCCTGCAACATATGCCCAATTTACAGGCTTTTTAAATATTTTAAATGAAAACTAGGCTTTATTATAAATTTTCTTAGTGAACTAAGGCGATTAGACCCTTAAAATTAATTAAAATACTTTCGTTCTAGTATCATTGTTATGAGCTTGAAAAATGGAAATAGCTACTTTTTACCTTAAGATCCAATTTTAAGACCTAGAACTTTAGCCCAATAGTAAACATTTCTTATTTTGGCATCAAGTATATTATTTTTTCGATAAAAAACGAAATTGAATAACAGGAAAACTCAACTTTTCTTAACCATTTTATAGCTGTTATTAAATCATTTACTGACGTAACAACAGATGATAACGGGTGCTCAAAAATAAAAAGAAAGCATTAGTAGAAATAAACCTCCAGAAGTATATGAAGCTGATATGTTATATATATGTATCGTATAACGTTTTATGATATACTGCAATTTAATACGTTTTACAACCTAAAATCAAATAAAATTTTATCATTTGACACCATTATTACAAGTTTCCAAATGTGACTTAAAATAATAACAGTTCAGTTACAACTGACAATTCAGAAATAATTGTTGTTAATAGTAGTTTGTGCAACAAGAGTGTATACGGAGTGGCTCAAAAGTCTGGAAACGGCCAATTATCTCGTAAACTGCTAGTCCTAATTGTACAAAATTTGGGGTACACCTATTTTGGGATACGGAGATTCCAGATTTGATATTTGCAATATTGCCAGATTTTCCGTTTCTCTTATATTATTAGTCACTTTGGTTTTTCAAATTGATCACCCTGTATATTAAGTCATTATTGGAATCTACTATTCAATACGAGTTCAACCATATGCAACACTTATAATTTTATGTAGTCTGGAAGGTCTTAAATAAATAAAATAATCATGGAGAAATGTGGTAAATGCACTCTATCATCGATTAGGGTAATGTCAACTCACAAATGAAGCACATTTTGAACACTTGATAAAGTAACCATTATGTTAAAAATGGTGTAATCTTTCAATTGTTACGTTTTAATGTAGTTGAAAATAGTTTGTTTTAAAAAATTTATGAGACATTAGGCGTTGCCAGACTTCTGTTTTATTTATTTAAGACCTTCTAGACTACATAAAATCATAAGTATTACATATGGTTGAACTCGTATTGAATAGGAGATTCCAATAATGACTTAATATACAGGGTAATCAATTTAAAAAATCAAAGTGACTAATAATATAAGAGAAACGGAAAATCTGGTAACATTGCAAATATCAAATCTGGAATCTCCGTATCCCAAAATAGACAAAATAACTAATTTTAAAATAATTTATGACTTTTAATAATTTTTAAAATAAAATAAGCGAAAAAAAAGAGAAAAAATCATTATATTTTTCCCATCTGAGAATCGAACTCCATTATTCCGGATGGCAGGAACGCTGACCACAGGACCACCTATTCTTTTATTTTTGTTGCTTTAATACTCGTAATTAAATTGACTTCATATAGTTTTATTTAAATTAATAAATTATTCATAATTATAGACGAAATAAAAAAAGAAAAGCTATTATTTATTGATTCTACACAATAATAACCCATTTTAATGTATGTTTAATCTCAATAACTAAAAAATATACTAATAATTAGTTTGACAGAATTGTCACTTATTTAAAATTTTAAAAACAATAGCAGTCGGTTGATCAAAATATGAACGGTGATTTTTAGATTTTATTTTTTTGCAGTGTTCTTACTACCTAGAATGGATATGAGATATATTCATTCAGTTGAAGGCAATAGCATACTTTTTTGTTTTGTAATCTGTGCGCAGATAAGCTAATATCCATGTGGGTGTAGAAAAAATATATTTCAGTGCAGTAGCTAATTTATAGTCAAAGAAGAGGAACATACTACACATCACTGAACGTGGCGATCCCCGATTGATGTTAATGAAATTGGAACCAAATTGGAACCCGACATTAACAATTTGTTAAAACTCCAGCCCTCAACCATCTCATTAATTCTTTTTATTTACTAATAATTTTGTGTTCATTTCATTTTTTTATTTTTATTGATTAATGTGTTTCTTTTTAAAACTTTAATAAACAATTTTATTGTACAATTAGTTGTCATTTTACTAATTTCAACTTTATGATTTTTAATAGACAAATAGGCAGATTAAGGTATCGATAATATGCAACAATATTTGAGTTCATATAAAAAAATTACCAATTGTTTTTTATTTAGATTTCTATAAAAAAGTAAAATTTTGTAACAACTGTTTTACATGTTTTATGTTTTAATAATAAAACCATTAATTTTGGTGGGTGCACCCAATATTTAAAAATAAATAAAAATTTTGGTGAATGTACCTAAACGTTTCCACCATTTTTTACTTACATTATTACTATTATTTTTTATCCTACTTGTAATGTACCTAGTACCTACCTAATTTTGGTAACATATAAAAGATGAGAAATTGTTTGACTTCAGTTGATAACAGGATTAGTTAATAGAGTTTTAGGCTAGCTAATAATTAGTAAAAAATCTTATTGCTTCTCACCCCATACACTTTGAAAGTGTTGCATTATAAGAATATTGAAATTCATTTTACTAGTATAATTTTGTATTATTACAATTAACCAGTGTTGCAAATTATTTCGATTTATAATTACTACAGTTTACGAGAAAAATAAATAATATTGCAAATAGCATTATATAAATATTTTTTTTAATTTATTTATTATATGGGAAAACCCCATTATAGAACAAAAATTATAGCAAAAAAAATACAGTCTCTAGCCAAATATTTACATACAAATATTTATATACTACAATAATACAAACCTATTGAGATCTATTTCTGTTTTTTTTTTAAGAATATAGATTAGCAGATATTTAACTCATTGGCCTTTCTGGCCGTTTTTGACAAAGGACTAAAATTACCATAATTTAAGTGAAACAAAACAATGTATTGCATTGCTAAGTATTTGGTAAAAATACTCAGAGCTGAGTCTACACCATTAACAGTAAGAAACTGGTTCCAATTAATCGGTGCAAAATAATTATTTAAAATAATGTAGTCAGCATTTTTAAAATCAAAATATTATTCATTAGTTTTAAGCTTTTCAAATTAATTATCAATATTAAGTGTCCATAAAAGTGCTTTATGATGATAATCATAAGGTAATAACAGGTAAATAGGTTCAATCAAAACTGAGTATTCAAAGCTTTGAGAAAAAAAGTCCAAGAAACCATTATTTTGATTCCTAATATAATTCAACTGTTTAAGGTTATAA